CTTTAATTACAATCAGTTAAACTAGCTAAAAAAACTATTGTTAAAAAGTTCTCTTAATATGCAAACGTGAAAGTATACATAGTTTGTACGCAAATGTGTGGATTTCAAGTCAGTCGTCATTTTATTTATACCTCTAAAAATATTTGTTTTTAAAAATATTTATTTCCAAAAATTGTCCAGACCTGCGTTGAGCTTTCAATCGCAGCTCTGAAAAGTTGAACTACTCAAACCGCACGTCCCTCTTTTAGTGTTCAGAATTTGTACTTATTTAACTTTTTCCTAATATTTTCGTTTCTCTTCTTTATCCATTAACTTTAGTTAAACACGTTTCTGTAAGCAACTCATCCGCAGTTGACTTCCGTAATCGTGTTTAGCCAACAGCATTTCCTGGTACTAATGCGTTCTAGAATTACACAAGCGGAGCAAAAGTTCAGCGCAAAGACATTTCAAAAAAATAGAAGTGAAACGAGGAAAAGCTTGGTGCAATGGAAATGAGATAAATATTAGTAAAATACATAGATTAAGTACGCAGTGCAAATACAAAAAAACATTTACTAATATGTACTGCTGCGTGTACGAGTTTTAATCGGCTAGATATTCTTGGCGTATGAGTAATTTAGAAAATAATAATTTTGCATCAAATTTAACATGTGGCAGTAGTTAACTTTTAGATTTGTTTTAAGAATCTATACCAAAGTTTGAAATATCAAACTTATACTCTAGGGCCGTCTTTGTTAAAAAAAGTAAAGTTCAAACAAAAACGCGGTAAATTGAACTGAAATAAATAAAATTATGTATTGTCCACCACTTCAATTTTTTACAAAAATTACTTGTTTACTCATTAAACCAAATGGCATGCATATGTGGCAACATTTGGAAGCTGTGAAGAGCTATTTAAAAAATATGTATTATCTTCATTTCAATAAAAAAAATATGTATATAAATATTCGTTTTATCATTTTTCATTTTAAACTTGTTCTATATTCACTATTTCTTCTTTATTTACTTCGCAGGTGGATCTTCGGCATATCGACGAACTCAACGGCACAAATGTTGTAGAAGTTGGTGTGGACTTATCAGAATTTTACACATCAGTCGAATGGGATATATTAGAAGTTCCTGCAGTGCGGTAAGTTATCCACTTACATATTTGTTATTTTAGCTATTCATATGTTGCATAAAATATCAAAATCTTCGGGGAAACTGTCTAAAAGTAAATGTAAATCTTATATCTAAGCAAACATTTATTTTAAGCTCAAAAATAACTACACCAGCTAAACGATATTTTCTTTATTAATTGCAAATGACTTCATAAAATTCACTTTATGTAGTTTTTCATCTACCTCTTCTTATCGGCAGCTAAAAACCAAAGTAAATTCGCTTAGCACTCTGAGTCGAACGTAACTAAAACAAAAGCTGCTCTTCTCACTTACTACCGTCAGAAATGTAGTGAATATCTCACTCAGCAATGGCTGGCCATAGCCAAGTGGTGTGAGGAGTGTTCTACTACTTGGTGGGCCCAGATTCGATTACTGGTTTGACAAATATCCACATTTTTTTCTATAGCGCGTGCACCGCAATCACAAAACACAGAGCGTATTCCTGCATACATATAAGCGTCATCCGCTTTTCGGAGGCGACGCGGCAATGCTAATCTCTTTGAGTTTACAGCTGCAACAACTAGGGTTGTACGTGGATCCCATTCTAGCTGTATGTTCCAGTGTCCAGTGATCGTGGCTGTTAATCCGACGATTTTTTTAGCTCTTAGAAGGTTTTACGTTTTTGATTTTTACTATTGGGAATAGGTGTTCCTTTTGTGTTATAGGTTTTAGGATGTGATTCGTGAGAGTTGCTACTGCGGCCAGACAGTTTGTTGGCTCGGCTTCCAACTCTGATCCAGACTTAGCAAATTTGACAGACCTCTTGTTATTCCTAGGGCCGGGTACTAAGACGAGTGACACATCCATTGTTTCGGTGTAATCCGTGACTAATTACAGTTTTTATTATTGATGGTGCCGTTTCCAAAAATGCTTGGTTATCTGTGGAAACGTATGCTAATTGTACTTGCTCCTAGTTACACTGTTTGTTTTTTAATAGCCTTCAGGTGCCCCTAGCACTTCCACTTAGAAGTTCGAAACGAGAGAGGGCGTAAATAATTTCAAAAAATTATCCCAATTCCGCAACGCAGTTCATTTCAGGCCAATCAGTTTAGAATCCAGCAGAATCCTCCTCGATTATCTTGCCTCTACTCAAACCCCATTTATTTAGAAGTGAAAGTCACCTAAAATTATATATGTTAAAAAAGTTTTGTTGCCGAATATAGGCGAATTTTTTCCTGTAAGGCATATATAATTAATAATATGATTTTTAGTAATTTATAACTTAATCCAAGCTATATAGTGTGGAAAATGGATTCCTTGACCCAAGAATGGCGAAAATATATCTTAAAAAATTTTTTTAAAGTTCAATACATCCTGTTTTCAGGTAAAATTACAATTTAAAACTTTTTTGGAAGATCCTAGGTATTCTTTTTATTTATGGAGACAAAAAAAATGTGAATTTTAAACACTGTGCACCAAGTAAATTTTTTTATGCAAACCTTCCCCTGTTAACAAGCCAATGTTTTTTTTTATTACTAAGAAGAAGATAAGTATCCCAATGGGTAATATTTCAAATTATTCAAAATGAGGTGCTTATAAATTAGGAACAATTTACTACATACATACATACATAGAAAAGTTAAGAGACTAGCCAAAGTAGATGATTCGTGGCTGCGATCGTCTCCTTTTTCCTTAAAATTTGTATTCACTAGCGAAGTAGTTGATTATAGTGCTATTTATGAAGGTGTCCTTAAATATTAAAGTGACAAAAAATTAACATTTTTTATTGCAACTACATATGCTCTTCTGTGTTTTTCCAAATGATTATCTCTGTACATTAGACTGCATCATTCCCCATACAAAAAAAAGAATCGGTACTGTGTGTCCATTGGAATATATTTCGGAAAAATACTAAGATACACATGACCTGGACCGATTTGAAAATACCTGCAAAAATGGAGTGTTGTATGAATAAAAATAGTTTCGTACATTTTTTGTTTTTTTTGTTTTTTTTTAAATCCCCTCACACGACAAAACGGTTTAAGCTTAAAAAATTTGCATAAAAATATTTTTAAAAATTTGTTTAAAATGTTTAACGGAATCATAATTTTGAGATTTTTGATGCTGTTTTTTAACTTTCTTCAAAGATTGATATAAGAAAAACTTCAATAACTGAACCTAAACTACTCCGATATAGACTTGTGAGGTATCATTGGTATTTTCTCACCCTTTTTACTTCTTTGCTAATAAACTCATTCAAAGGATGAAAGAGAAAAGTATGATGAACGAACATCATTCAAAGTTGAATTAAGATGTGTTGGTATTTGAAAAAAAAAAAAATTAGACACGAATGATTTTTTTTTTTGGACAGGAATAAAAATAGTGGGAAAATACCTTTCTACTGAGATCCCATAAGTCTAAATCCGAATAGTTTTGGCCTAGTTATTCAGTTTTTCGTAAATCAATCTTTGAAAAAAGTAAAAAAAAGCGTATTACGATTCTGTTAAAAAGATTTTTAAATATTTTTATGCCATTTTTTAAGCTTAATCTGTTTTGTCATCTGAGGTGACTTTTTTCAAAAAGTTCTTTCAAAAAACTATTTTTATTCATATAAAAACTAAATTTTTGAAGGTATTTTCAAATCGGTCCAGCTCACGTAAATCTTAATATTTTTCCGAAATATTTTGGTGGACGTCGTAAAATATAATAAATTTTGTAATCCCGGCGGAATAACCGCAACTTTTTTTTTGTGATGCAGTCTAATGTACATGTATGTTTGACATTGCTCTCTTCCTAAGATGTTAACGAAGATGTGTGTATGTGCGTATTGAGTTGGCAGCATAAATTTGACAATGCAAATTGCCATTTGCCTCGTAACAAGACATCCCTGGGCAGTTTATGTACGACATATGTTTTATCCCCTAACGCATGAATACATGTATTTACGTAGTATAAATATATGTATGTACGTGCATAACTACATAGGAAATATTAAGACAGTTTGTCTTCGTCACAATTACACTCAAGGGAAACACGTGGACAGTCAGTCGACATGGCAATAAACTAAGGCCTGTAAAAAGTAGGCGACCTTTTATTAAGTGACTATCGCATTGTGCGCCCAAAACATGGCTACAACGATGATGACACAATGTCACGTGCTGCTTTGCCATCAAGCAAAAAACGTGCGTATAAAGATTGTGTATGAATGCGAATAAGAAAAAAGTAAAAGGAAAAAAAAACAGTTTCTTACAGAAAAAAATATTAATGTGTGAGAAGACAAGCACACATACATAACTGCAAACATACTTATTTCCCAAAAGATTATAAAGCTATAGACCTTGCCTCATGAAAAAAAAACTCAATAAAGGTATGCCTTCATGTGTCACAAAAGCCATGAGCCCACACATTGCCAACTATGAGTAAAAGAAAATAGTAGCTGCTACGAGTGCCAAGAAAACTATGCACTTTTCATAACCATCAAAATTTCAGTTAACAACTCAACTTAGCTCACATTTTTGCAACGCCTTTTAACTTTTGGTCTTTGTTTGTTTTTTTTTTATTTTTTATTCTTTTTTTTTACTTTGTCTTTTCTAACTTTTGTCTTTACTGCACGCTCCATTTTCCTAACTGCCATGATGCCAGAAGCGATGTAAAGAACTACTATTAAAAAGGCGAATATAAAAAAGTTGCTTGCAAAAAGCCTTTGGCGTGACAAAAGCCAACAAGCACTCACGCATTTATGAGAGTATGTATGCAAGTATGTAGCAGCTAAGGTGTCAGCTGCTCTCTTTGTTGTTTGAACTACTGCAGTGGCATTTTTGAGGCGTTTGTGAAGGCTTTTGTGTGTGCGGCGTGCATGCTTTTCTATGCGTTGCTCACATGTGTTGCACTATTTTTTTCTGTTCCACCTTTTTTTTAGGTTCGTAGTTTCATATTTGTTTTAAGCTGATGTGCATACGT